GCAAACGTTTCTAAAGCTCTTCCAAATTCGATTTCATCTCCTGCTTTAATTCATACTAATGATGGTAATAATGATATTGATATCGATGTTGACAACAGTTCTCGATTAGTTCGGATCAATCAATTTGAAGATCCAGGTCTTTGGCCTGATATAATTTCTCACGATTTTCTGACTCAGATGATTGATCATGGTGTGCCCAATCAAATTATGGATTTTAACTTTCCATTAGATTCAAATAATAGATGTTTATCAACAGCTTTATATACCCGTACAATGACTAACGGTGAGAAAGTACACAGAAATTGGTTAATTTATTCAAAATCTAAGAATGCCGTTTTTTGTTTCTCATGCTCTTTATATAAAAGAAATGAAAATAAATTTTCAAGTCCCTCTGGCTATTCTGATTGGTCGAATATACATCGTCTCGTTAAAGAACATGAGTAAAGTAAGAAACATCTCGAAGCTTTTAAATCTTGGCAACTCTTCGCTAATCGAATGAACTCTCAGCACTATAGATTTCCATAACGAAAGGGTTTTAAATATTGAACATACACATTGGAGAAATGTTTTCAAACAACTAATTCTAATTGTTAAATATCTTGCTCAACAGAATTTAGCTTTTCGAGGTAAATCTAATTCTTTATATACCCCAAATAATGGCAATTTCTTGCAACTTGTGCAGACGATAGCCGAATTTGACTCAACCATGGCTGAACACTTGCGCCGATTTTTAGAAAAAGAAAAAGGACAACATTATTTAAGTAATACTATTCAAAATGAGCTGTTATCATCTATGTCTAAATTAATTTCTGATTCAATAATTTCTTCAGTTAATTTAAATAAATATTTTGCGATTATTGTGGATTCAACACCAGATATCTCTCATCAGAATCAATTAACAATAGTGGTGCGTTTTGTTTCATACAAAAATAATCAATTTAAAATTCATGAACACTTTCTTGGATTTATAAAAGAAAATAGTAAAACAGGTGCAGCCATTGCAAGCGCTATTTTAAAATTTCTATTAACAAATAATTTAGATATACAAAATCTGAGAGGTCAAGGTTATGATAATGGTTCAAACATGAAGGGAAAAAATAATGGAGTACAACAACATATTTTAGATAAAAATCCTTTAGCCTTTTTTGTTCCTTGCGCATGCCACTCCTTAAATTTAGTAGTAAATGATGCAGCTGATGCATCATTAGAATCATTTTTATTTTTTTTCAATTATACAAGAAATTTTTAATTTTTTTTCCCGCTCTACAAGTCGGTGGGATATTTTAAAAAAACATTTTAGCAAATCGGATATCTATGGTTTAACACCAAAGAATGTGTCAGCTATACGATGGTCATCGCGCGTGAATGCAGTAAAAGCTTTACGTTATAATTTACCAATTATTTATGATAGTCTCCTAGAGATTTTTGAAAGTACAAATGATAATACTGTTAAGAATACAACTCATAGTATCGCCAAAAAAATTGCAAATTATAAATTTATATTATCTGTGCTCTGTTGGTATGAGAGAGACATATTACAAAGAATCAATATTATTTCAAAATCTTTGCAGTCGCATCAAATTGATATACCGCAATGTTTATCATTAATCGAAAATGTAATTGGATTTTTAAGAGACTATCGTGAAAATGGTTTCATAAATATTGAAATAAATGCCAAAAATCTTGCAGCTCAAATGAACGTTCTTCCAAAATTTCCATCCGTGTCGCAATTTCGATTAAGAAAACGAACACAATTTGAAAATGAAACCATTTCAGATGCCAGACCGAAATTTAAAGTAGAATTTTTTTTTTACATTATTGACGTAGCACTAAATTCTTTGGAAGAACGATTTCATCAGCTTAATTGTCATAGTAATACTTTCAAATTTCTATATGATATAAATACTTCTGACGAGATTAAATCAATGCAAAGCTTTGGAATTAAAACTTTATAATAAAAACACAAGTTCTTCTGATATAAATGCCATTGAAATTTTGATGAGATAAATTTATATAAAACAACATTTTCAGATGTACGAGTACAACAAAACACTTCGCAATCCCCAATTGATATTTTAAATAAAATAGCTCAAAATGGCTTTCTGGAAATATTTCCGAATTTAACAATAGCATTTCGGATATTACTAACTATGCCAATATCTGTGGCAACTGGTGAAGCAAGTTTTTCAAAATTAAAATTAATAAAAAATTATCTCAGGAGTACAATGACACAGACACGGTTATCCGATTTAGCAATTATATCAATCGAAACTGAAGTGGCTAACAGTCTTAATTATACAGACATTATAGAAATATTCGCAAAAGCTAAGGTTAGAAAACATAATTTTAAAATTCTTTTATTATTCTTTTCTTTTATTATTATTATTTCTTCATATTAATTAAAAGGTAAGATAAACAAAATATATATATCAAAAATATATAAATATATTTTAAAAAACAAAAAAGGGAAAACAAGGAAGCAAAAAAACAAAAAAGCAAAAAAAGTAAAAAAACAAAAAAGCAAAAAACAAAAAACAGAAAGGGAACCATTATCCTGCTACGTCCTCGCCGTGGTTCTGGATAACGCTAAAAGCAGGAACCTTTTTTTTAAAAATCTCTTTTTGCTTCGCGTTTGGGACGCGCGAATC